GGGGCTCCTGGGTGGCTCAGTCAGTTAAGCATCCGACTTCGGCTCAGGTCATGGTCTCACACAGCTCGTGAGTTCAAGCCCTGAGTCCGGTTCTGTGCTGACAGCTCAGAGCCTGGAGCCTGCTTTGGATTCTGTGTCTCCCTCTCTCTCTGCTCCTCCCCCACTCGTACTCTGCCTTTCTCTCCCTCAAAAGTAAATAAACATTAAAAAAAAAAAAAGTAGCCATTCTGAAATAGGCCAGGGCTACTGGTTTAAAAAAATAAAAACATAAAAAAAAAAAAAAAAAAACACTCAGAAGGGCCAAGCCTGTTTAACTGGTAGGCAGCGGCAGGAGTGCTCCTCGGATACTCAACCTAGAATTAGGTCTGACTTCTGTGAGGGGATTTCTGTGAGAATCTGGAAGAGCCAAGAATGGCCTGGCTGGGTCTCTCATTCTCCAGTGTGAACACATAATTTGAGGAAGCACAGCAACTCTAAAGCCCATGCTCTTTTGCACTGGCTTTCTGGAGTCTCTTCCCAGCCTTAGATTTCTCTGACGTCTCAAGGAATGGTAGCCAAGGCTGACTCTGCCACCTCACTGCCTAGGTTCAAGTCCTAGCTCTGCTTTGGCTTTGTTATGTTGTCTGGCACATGGTGCTATATGTCTCCCCCCCCCCCCCTTCCTATTTCTTTCTTTCTTTTTTTTAATGTTTATTTCTATTTGAGAGAGAAAGAGAAAGACAGTGTGTGAGTGGGGGGAGGGGCAGAGAGAAGACAGAATCCGAAGCAGGCTCCAGGCCCTGAGCTGTCAACACAGAGCCCGGCTCAGGGCTTGAACTCACAAGCTGTGAGATCATGACCTGAGCCGAAGTTGGATGCTTAACTGACTGATCCACCTCGGCGCACCACCCCGCCCCCCCCTTTTTCCTATTTCTCACCAGACCTCTTTTGGTTCCTCTTTTCCCCCTTACTCAATAACTATTGGCAGCCCTCAGACCTAGGACCTCTCATCATATCCATGTTTTTGGAATTTACTACTCATTAAATCTCGATTACTCTATATGAATGACTTCCAGATTTCATATCTAGTCTTGATCTGCTGTCCTCTCGCAAACCATCAATAGCCATGGACTTGGAATGGGCATCTTATTGCAAAGGTATGTTTGAGAAAGCATACCTCAAATTTCCATGCCAAAGACTAGGCTTATCCCTCTCCCAACTTTTTTTTCTTTTTTAAGTAGACTCCACAGCTGGCGTGGAGCCCAATGCAGAGCCTTGAAATAATGACCCTGAGATCAAGACCTGAGCAGAGATCAAGAGTCGCACTCTTAATTGACTGAGCCACTGAGGTGCCCCACTTTCTTAACTTTTTAATTTCTTCCCATTTTCAGTTTCCTGGGCAGTCTTCTGCCCAATCATAGATGCCCTTTTCTTCTCAATACTTGAATTCAGATACATTTCTTTTGTTCATTCATATATTAATTCAACAAGTACTTCTCAGCTGCCCACCATGTGTCAGTAATTGTGCTAGGCCTCAAAGTACAAAGATAAGTTGGGCTTGAGGAGATCAGTCTTATGGTGGTGGCACACAGGCATAGAAAGATTATGATAGGGTAAATACTGTAATAGAAGCTTCCACGCAAAGACCCCACTAGAATACAGTAACAAATGCAAAGTGCTATAGGAGTTGGGGGAAGATTTCTGACAACATGTAACATCTTAACTGTCTTTTAGGACAAACAGTTCAGCCAGGTTGCAAGGTGGGAGAGCTGGGGGAGAGAGAACGAAAATAGAGGGAGTTTGTGCTAAGTCTCAGAGGTATGAAAGGACACGGCAAGTAGGATATGGTGGTAGGTGAGAAGTTCAAGTGTGACTGGGGTGTGGAGGAAAAGCATGAAGGCCAGCGCTCTCCAACACAACTTCCTGCAGTGACGGAAATGGTCTAAATCTGTGCTGTCCAATAAAGTGGCCGCTAATCACATACGGCTATTGAACACCTGTAACGTGGCTAGTAAGACTGAGGAGCTGAATTTAAATTTTATTTCATTTTATTTAATTTACATTTATTTATTTATTTTTTTAAAAATTTTTTTTTTCAACGTTTATTTATTTTTGGGACAGAGAGAGACAGAGCATGAACAGGGGAGGGGCAGAGAGAGAGGGAGACACAGAATCGGAAACAGGCTCCAGGCTCTGAGCCATCAGCCCAGAGCCCGACGCGGGGCTCGAACTCACAGACCGTGAGATCATGACCTGGCTGAAGTCGGACGCTTAACCGACTGCGCCACCCAGGCGCCCCTATTTAATTTACATTTAAATAGCAAGCAGCTACCTTACTGAACAACACTGGTTTTGGCACTGGATAAAGGACAGGACTTTAGCTCTAGGAAACACTGAAGGTTTAAAAAAAATTTTTTTAATGTTTATTTTTGAGAGAGAGACACACAGAGTGCGAGTGGGGGAGGGTCAGAGAGAGGGAGACACAAAATCTGAAGCGAGCTCCAGGCTCTGAGCTGTCAGCACAGAGCCTGATGCAGGTCTCGAACTCACAAACGGTGAGATCCGAACTGAGCTAAAGTCGGACGCTTAACCAAGCCACCCAGGTGCCCCAAAACACTGAAGGTTTTTAAGCATAATACTAGCATAACTAGGAATCTGAGGAAGGGAACACTGGCAGCAGGGATTAGATAAGGATAGATGGCTTAACACAGAAATGCCTGGTAGGGACCAGCCACATGGATAGAATAAATGGGACTTACGTGTTATTGGACATGCAAGAATTTACTGGACTTTGTGACTATTTCAGTGTGGGGAGACTCACGTAAGCAAGGAGACTCACCTGAAGTTTGTAGCTTGAGCAATGGGTGGATGGCAACAACTGAGATAGGATCAGGTTTAGAATGAGGGTAATGAGTTTGCTTCTGGAATATGTTGAATCTGAGGTGCCTAAGAACCATCTAAGAGGATATGATTACAAAACAGGAAAAATGCTAATCTGCAACTGTGGAAGTGAGGCCACCAATATATTTGGGGGTTATTAGCATATAGGTAGTTGCTAAACGCATGGGAGTGAAGGAACTCACTCCATGAAAAATATGTAGAAGAGGACTGGATGGACCCTAAGGGGTCCTAAGCAATCAAAATGTGGTCTATTTTGCATCAGAGTCACCTGGGGTGCTTGTTAAAAACAAGTTCCTCCTTGTGATTTAACGCCATGGAATTATACACTTTAAAATAGTTAAAATGGTAAATTTTGTTACATACATTTTACCATGATAAAAAAATGCAACAAACAAATAAACAAACCCAAACAAACAACAAACCCTCCCACAAATCTAATCAAACCAAACCAACCCAACCCTCAAGCCCCATTCTTAACCTGAATCACTGTTTCTGGAGATGAATCCAGGACTCTCCAGGTAACGTGTTCAATTAAAATTTGAACTGCTTAAAGAGTACATAAAAACTAAGAGATAGGAAGAGAATAAAGGGAGAAGGGTATGGTGAAGAAACCAAGGGAGAGCAGTTTAAAGAAGGGATCAACAGTGCTGAATAGTGCCATGACCCAGGAGGAAGACTGAACAAGAGGCCTCAGAATTTGGCATTCAGGAGGTCATTGATGAATGGGAAATAGACTGTGGAGTCAATCCTTTCAAGGGCTTTGCTCACATTTGGTGGTGAAGAGATGGAGAGACTGAATAAACTTGAAGAGAGATTGGAAACAGGAAAACTTGGTGGTTTTAGAGAGAGAATTGAGCATGTTGGCAGGTGGACAGGAAGGAGTTAATGAAGCCAAGGAGACATCAAAGGGATCCTCAATAAAGCAGTCTGGGAGAAGTAGTAGAGGTTGGGATCAGGAACTCAGGCAGAGGTTATCTGGGTAAAAGTTCATTGGGTAAGTTCAGAAGTGAAAAGGTGGAAAGATGAAGGGATTTAAGACTGAAGGCAACTGTCCCTGGATAGCTCAGTTAAGAGTCTTACGCTCAGGTCACGATCTCACTGTTTGTGAGTTCAACCCCACATCAGGATCTCTGCTGTCAGCTTGGAGCCTGCTTGGATCCTCTGTCTCCCTCTCTGCCCCTCCCAAGTTCACGCTGTCAAAAAAAACAGTAATAATAAAACAAAAATTAAAAAAAAAAAAAAAAAGACTGAGAGCAAGAAAAGACTTCCTGATACAGCAAACAAGAATGGTGCTGGTTGGTGGTTAGGTCATCTGCTTAGACTAGTGGTACAGGGATATAGAGTCAAGAACCTGCAGAAGGGTAAAAGTCCACAAGAGTCACTAGGATGAAAGTGATCAGGAGCAGGAATATAAAAAGATTGAAAAGTAGTACTGGAGTCTGAAATTGGAAATGACACCAACCACATAATTATCCTGCACAAAATAGAAAAACCGGTTTTCCTAAATGAAGGTTTTGGTTCCAATCTCCTATCGTTTGGGGAATGTACTAGCTTTTGCTCTCTATGCATAGAGTTCAAATTCCCTAGCAGGAACTTTTATCTTCTCCACCAATAGGTCCAAAGTTTAATTGGTGGTTCAGACACTCTTATTCCCCAGCCTTCCTTCTATAACTTCAGAAAATAATAGGATCTTAAGGATTTTGAAGCTCATCAATCCAGTCGCCCTTCTTAGCTAGGTATATTTTGTTTTCCTATCTTCTCTCCACCAAATCCTTCTCCATCTCCCACTTTCCCTTGGACTCAACTCATGGGTGTCAAAACCTGACAGATATCAGTGATGCCTATCCCACAGCATTTACGCTATAGTCATTCAATTGTAGACTGCATTTTATGCCTGTTTCCCTGCACATATTCCCACTGCCATACTGATGTGTACCCCCCACCCCCATGTTGGTGTGCTTTGGCAGAGGACGCTGACAAACAAAAGTCCTAAATTAACTTACTCTGGTATGTTTTCAGTTCTGAGCCTGGGTGAGGTTCTTTTTCTTGAGCTGAAAACTCCCTGGATAGAGTGGTTAAAAGCAGAGGTTTCCTACCTACCCCAGAGTCACAGGGCATTCTCAATCATACTCAAGTCACTTTTATTATATATAATTATACAGTCCCACTTCATTCATTGTATTTGTACCAGCTGGATATTGGGTCATAATTTAAATCTTTTAAACATCTTATAAATGCTAGCCAGCGCATTTTGGCTAGTATCTGTTACATGCTGTGCTGAGCCTGGGCATGTTGGATACATGACCTGCTCTGGAAAGATAAGATGATTTTCATACTAATTCTCTCCTTTAGCCAAGGCAGTGACTCTTCATTCCAGATTGTATTGTGAGGTGCTGCCTGAAGGCAGGATAAGGAAGTCCAGCAAAAGCCTGAAGAAGCCAGATCAGATTCAAGTTGCCCATGGAACAGATACATTCTAAGGCTAGCCTGGGCTAAGTCTCTAACCACTAGAAGCAGCCCCCTCCATATCCTAGAACCAAGATCACTTTTTCTATGCCATCTCAATCCGGAGAGCCCAGCTCATTGCTCCACAGATAGTCTCTTCTTCCAGAATCAACTCAAACAGTGGGGAATAGATACTGATTCTTTCAATTGCATGTCTTGGACATTTTGCCAAAAGTTTCTGCCAGGTTTTGAGGCTGCCTTACAATCGCCAATTAAGGACAGTGAACTTAATTCTTTGTATAACACTCTTTCAATATCTCTTTCCTGGCCTTCCCACCCTCCCATTTCACTGTCTCCAGGATCTTAATCTGTTCTTTTCTTTCCCTTCGTCTACCAGTGATTCAGGAATTGGATGAGTCTCTGTGGCTTGTTTTGCCCTGAAGAGCAGAAGGCTTCGGTCCCAGCTGGTGTTGCCAAAGCAGCATACTAATTCCATGCCATGGTCCTGGGTCAAGATCTGCACAATCTGATTGGCCATATCACCTCGGATGGCAAGGGAACGGAAGTGGTCAAAGTCATGGAGGCCCAGCTTCCGGAGACGCCTTGCAGCTGCCCGGTAACACTTCCAGGGCTGAGGCTCCACAAGGAGGTAGCGGCAGAGGGAGGAAAGGTGGGCTAGGAACTCCCACAGACCACGGTCCCCATGGTTCAGATGAATCCACATGGTTACTGACATGCAGAAGCCAATGTCAAAAACTGACCGTCCAAACTGGTTTAAGAAAGAGCTCAAGAGAACTTTCCGGGTTCTTTGATTCATAAAGTCCAGGGTGATAAAGGTCAGGGCATCAGGAAAAGGACATTCTTTTTCAGCTCGTTCCACCAGGACTGGATCTATGTCGCAGCAGAGTAGATGGAGTTCTCCTGAGGCATCTGAGCAGGTCTCCCCATCACGTAAGGAAAGGAAGTGTTTGTATAGAGCCACACTCAGATCCTAGAGAAATCCAAAAGAGCTTTGTCATTGCAGCTCTCAACCAGTGAATGGAAGAAAGACCTCTATCTCTTATCATCTCATTGGACTGCCACTTAGTCTTTGCTTTATAAGATATGAAGCTCCTAGACTAAGAAGGTTGCCCAAAAAGTTTTCCACAGAGCAGGTTCTCAGTGCCCTCCAGGGGTCTCAGGCAATAATGTGTCATCTCTATACTTCCCTGACATTGATGGTAGGTTGGGCTGTATGGTTGAAAGTTACAGCCAAATGGATGCAGCAAAGGAGCTGAGAGCAGTCTTGTCCAGCTTGAGTAATATGCTGGTAAACTCACTTTTTTCAGGTATCTCAGACCTCAGGGAGAAAGAAAGGATTCCAAGGGCATAGCCAGCATTCTTTACCAGGAAGGTGAGGAACCAGAACAAGCACCATCTTATAAACATCTGCTTCTCAGACTTGTGATTGGGAAAAGTCTGGATTCCAAAAGTCCTCGCTTAGCCTTCATTCTACAGCCTCAATTTTACTGTCTGCCTTATGCTTCACCACCCCCTTTTGAGATTTATTCTACTTCTGCATCTATCACTTCCCAAAGTCACTGCTGACTTCCTTCTAGCCAGGTCTAATGATCTGTGATTTTCACCACCTCAGCACTTTGACTCCTAAACAAGACACTATCTCCTTTGTCTAACATTGACTTCTGTAACCATTACAACTAGTTCAAATTTGTGTTGCTCTAATCCATTTTTCAAGGCATTTTTCTATGCTCCACCTGTTTCGCTCTGTGCAACAAACTTGTAAGGAAAATACTTATGCTCTTTGTACAGGTGAAGAAAGTGTGGCTGGAAACAACCCAGATGTCCAACAATAGTAGCATGGATGAAGAAATGTGGTATATTCATTAAGATGGAATACTAAATAGCCGTTAAAAATGAAGGAATTCAGCTCAGTGCATCAACATGGATGACTCTTACAAATATACAATGTTCAGCAAAAAAGCAAGACACACGCAAAAAATACATGGCAAGCTTCCATTTATATGAATTTCAAAAATGGATAAGATTAAATTACATTGTTTAGGGATACAAAAATAGTGAGCTATAAAGAAAATCAAGGAAATAAGCATAAGTCAGGCTAGTTGTTCCCTCTGGGTGGAGGGGGGCGGTTTAGGAACAGAGAAAGTTAAGGGACTTTTGGGGTTCTGACAATGTTTTATTCTTGATCTGGACAATGGCCATAAAGGTGTCTGCTTTATAATAGTTCATAAAGTGTAAATTTATGTCTTATGCACTTTTCTGTATGTGTGGCATAGTTCACAAAAAATTCTTTTAAAAAGTCATGCTGTTGTTGTAGATTAAGGACCATATTTAGAGTAGGAAGGTCCTATACTACGCTGCTTAATTTTCTCCCCATTTCTATACTTATTTCTTTGCTGACTCCCTCTTCCTGTCTGATCTTGGGTGTGCCAGTTTCACTAGTCATTTGTCACTTCATCCTTCCTCGACCACATCTCTTCACCTTCTCCAACCTCAATTCCCCAAACCCAGAATACCCTGGAAGCTTGAAAAGTAAAATATAGACTCAAGGGCTCAATCACTCAAGATCCTGATTCAGTAGGGCTACAGTGGGGCCTGGGAGTTTTAAAAATGTAAACAAAGCACCCTATAAATTATGGTACATGCGTACAATTTTGAAGCTGCTAAAAAGAATGTCGTGACATGAGTGATCTCCAAATTATTAAGTGAAAAGCAAGGTGCCAAATAGTGTGCTATTATTTGTAAAGGTAAAAGAGGTAATATTTATACATACATAAATGCCTACATACACACAGGATACATACCCAAGAAATTATAAACAGCGGTTGCCAATGTGTAGGGGGGAAGGAGAATTTAGGGTCAGGAATAGAGACTTACTTTTTGTTACATGCCTGTGATTTGCAATCACAGGGTCAGAATATCTGCTCCTGTAGGATATGGTAGTAGTTACAGATAGGTGTCAAGGGTGGCATGTCGATATTTTGAATGTAATTTCACTACAATCACTCTACGCCTAAGAATACTTTGAGGTAAGAAGATGTGGCAATGCCTTCCTCCGCCAAGGAGCTGTATCCTCCCTCTCAACCCTCTCCACTGTACTCAGTCAACTCACTGCTTTTAAATAAATATCTACTTGGCTCCAGGATGCATCCTACACCGTATGGCACACGAATCTTAATTCCAGGCGTGATTCCGTCACCCCTGGCTCTTCTCTCCCAGTAACCCAATCCCAACCCTACGCTCCCAAAGGCGGGTGTCCGGACGCCCCCTCTCTGCAGCCAGGTCGCCAGCCACGCTGTACAGGAGGCAAGCGCCGGAAGCCCCAAAACGGTGGCCCTTCCCATCCGAGGTTTGGCCGTGAGGCGGCGAACGCACAAGCGGGGACGCAGGAATTCGGAACGGAGTTTAAACTCATTTGGGGAAAGTGGTGATGGGTGTGATGCCACGCCCAAACCACAGCCCCAGCGAACGCAGAGGAAGCCAACCGCTCGGCTCCCCGACCTCCGACCCCGCCCCCGTCACTCACCCCAGAGTTACACCCTACGTCGAGCCCCAGGATCGGCCTCGATTCGGGACTCTGAGGGAAAAGCCGGCGGAGCAGCTCCGGGGGCAAGAGGCGGAGCCGCTGTTCTGGAGGATGGAAGCGGGAATACTGAGGGAAATTTCCAAACGGGGCGGCCCCGGGTTCCAGAATTCGCGGTTCCTCTTCCGCCGCGGCCTCTTCAACGCCCCCGGTGGCCTGTTTCGTGGACGCCGCCATTTGTCAGCCTGGCTTCTGGGCCCCGGCGGAACCGGAAGTCGGATCCCGGCGCGGGGGACGGGACGCCAGCGCGCGTGCGTTAAATGGCAAAGAAGGGTGGGTCTGAAGGCTGACGTCCCCTTTGGGAGCGCGGACAGCCGGGGCTTGTGTTACTTTGTTGCACCCTCACCACCACCTGGGGGTGGTTAGTTCCATTATCCGGTTTTGTAGGCGAGGAAACAAACGCAGAGAGGTTTCGTGCCTTGCCCAAGCCGATACAGTTTCAACTTGAGCTATACCCAGAACAAGGAGTTTGGGGGGATGTTGGAAATCAATTTTGGTCCAGCTTCCTTTCTTTCCATATGCATTGAGACTCAGGAAGTGGAAATTAGCCAGAGTCACACAAGGAATCTGTGATACAGGAACTTGCACCAGCTTCATCCCATGGCTCCAGGAAAGGGTAGCCAGGAGCTGTGGGGCACTTGAAGTGTCAGAAGACCCAGGTAGTCCTGACTGCCAGGTGGGACAGGTGGATAGGGGCAACTGTGATTTGTGAGCTCTTTGAGAGGCAAGGACCATGGCTTATGAGCTTGCACTGAAGAGTGCTTATCGGGTGCCAGACCCTCTCTAAGACCTCTGCATATATTAATTCTATATTAATTCTTTTTTTTTTTTCAACGTTTATTTCTTTTTGGGACAGAGAGAGACAGAGCATGAACAGGGGAGGGGCAGAGAGAGAGGGAGACACAGAATCGGAAACAGGCTCCAGGCTCTGAGCCATCAGCCCAGAGCCCGATGCGGGGCTCGAACTCACGGACCGCGAGATCGTGACCTGGCTGAAGTCGGACGCTTAACCGACTGCGCCACTCAGGCGCCCCTCTATATTAATTCTTTAAAAAAAAATTTAATGCTTATTTATTTTTGAGAGGAAGAGTGCAAGCAGGGGAGGGGCAGAGAGAGAGAGGGAGACACAGAATCTGAAGCAGGCTTCAGGCCCTGAGCGGTCAGCACAGAGCCCAACGTGGGGCTCAAACTCGTGAACTGCGAAATCATGACCTGAGGCAAAGTCGGACATTCAACCGACTGAGCCACCCAGACACCCCTCTATATTAATCCTTTTTAATCCTCACATCAATCCTGTGAGGCAAAGACCATAATTATCCGTTTTTTATATATGAGGACATTGGGGTACAACGAATTTGTAATTTGCCCAAGGTCATGTAGTTAGAAATGATGGTACCAGGATTTGAACCCAGGCAGTTGGGCTCCAGAGGATGTGCTTGCAGCCTTCAATCCCCTTTTGCCTACCGTAATGCCAGGCCCAAAGATGCTCAGTAAATATTTGTTGAATGAAAACTCAATATCAACAAATCGTGCTGGGAAAACTGGATATTCGTATGCAAAATAATGAAAGCGGGCCATTATCTTACGCAAAAATCAGCTCAAAATGGATTCAGAACTTACATGTAAGACCTAAAACTGCGTGACAGCTAGAAAAAAAAATAGAGGAAACACTGATCTTGGCAATGATGTCATAGCCACGACACCAAAAGCACAGACAACAAAAGAAAAAATAGACAAGTGGGACTACATCAAACTAAGAAATTTATCTACAGTAATGAAAACCATTGATAGACTAAAAAGGCAACTTACAGAATGGGAGAAAATATTTGCAAACCATATGTAGTATCTGATAAGGATTAATTTCCAAAATATGTAAGGAACTTCTATAACTTAATAGCAAAAGAACTAGTAACATAACTAAAAAATGGGCAATGGACTTAAATAGACATTTCTCCAAAGGAAGGCATATAAACGGCCAAAAGGTATATAAACAGATGCTCAATGTAACTAATCATGCAAATGAAAACCACAATATCACCTCATACATGTTAGGATGGCTATTATGGAAGAACACAAACAAAAGACAACAAGTGTTGGCAAGGATGTGGAGAAAGTGGAACGCTCGTACGCTCTTGGTGAGAATGTAAAATGGTGCAGCCTCCATGGAAATTCTACAAAAAATTAAAACTAGAACTACTATATGACCCAGCAATCCTATATGTGGGTATTTATCCAAAATCAAGATCTTGAAGACAGAGTAGCGCTCCCATGTTCGTTGTGATACTATTCGCAAGAGTCAAGATGTGGCAGCAACTTAAATTTGTTTAATGTTTTTTTTATTTTTGAGAGATAGAGGGAGACAGGATCCGAAGTGGACTCTGTGCTGACAGCAGAAAGCCCGATGTAGGGCACAAACTCACAAACTGTGAGATCATGACCTGAGCCGAAGTTGGACAATTAACCGACTGAGCCACCCAGGCGCCCCAAGATGTGGAAACAACTTAGATGTCCACTGAACAGATGAATAGATAAAAATAAATGTGATATTACATACAGGGGAATACTACTCATCTTAAGAAAGAAGGAAATCCCGCCATATGTGACCACGTGGACAAATCTTGCAGACATTTTGCTAAGTGAAATAAGCCAGTCATGGAAAGACAAATACTGCATGATTCCACTTATGTAAGATATCTGAAGTAGTCAAATTCATAGAAGCAAAGAATATAATGGTAGTTGCTAGGGACTGGGGGGAAGGGATAGGAAGAGCTGTTAATCAATGGCTATAAAGTTTTAGTTATGCAAGATGAATAAGGTCTACAGATCTGTTGTGCAACATCGTGCCGGTAGATAACAATCCTGTGTTGTACACTTAAAAATCTGTTCAGGGGCACCTGAGTAGCTCAGTCCATCGAGTGTCTGACTCTTGATCTCAGCTCAGGTCTTGATCTCAGGGTCGTGAGTTCAAGCCCCACATTGGGCTCTGCACTGGACGTGACGTCTACTTAAGAGGGTTAAGAGGGTAGATCTCATATTAAGTGTACTTACCACATGAAATAAAATTTAGGAAAACAAAAACAAACTCAATAGAGGCTGCAAGTCGATGACTAAAGCCAAGTTTGCTTTGGGAAAGTTAGAATGGAAGAAAGAAAGGAACTGAACTGAAACAAAGTGGAATGGAGGTAGACAAAATATGGGCTGAGCCAGAAATGGGAAAAAAAAAACAAAAAAAACAAAAAAACAAAAACAGCTGGTAAGGAGAGAAACTGAGGGGTCAGCCCAGATACCAGTTTCCAGTTAGAAGCCAGGATGGCCCAGAATACCCAACAGGTTCAGTCAGGGGTCAGCAGAGTTGTATTGACCTCTCCCCATTTTAAAGGGCCTCTTACTACATGAGGCCTGCGGTTTGCAGATAATGCTATCAGAGGTTAAAATGAGCCTTGTCTCTTTCCCTCCCAGCTTTTACTTCATACTTTCATCTCTGCCTGATCTGATCTATTTCGGGACATAAGTTAATGACCAAAAGTCACAGTGGAACTGAGTAAACCACAGTACTCTGAACAGCTTCCAGAAAAGGGTGGGGGTGGAACAGCAGCACTGGTACCATTTCTCTCCGCAGTATTTGACAGATTTTGGTGAGCCAGACTTACCTCTTTTTGTCACTAGATGGTGCTAGCACAAACACTTGACACCCTTCATTTTCAAGCAGCTGGAAATCACCTTGCTTTTGTAAACACCTTTTTGTTTGCATATTTAAACACAGCATAGGGGCGCCTGGGTGGCTCCTCTGACTCTTGATTTCGCCTCAGGTCATGATCCCAGGGGTCACTGGACTGAGCCCCGTGTTGGGCTGCAAGCTGGGTGTGGAGCCTGCTTGGCATTCTCTGTCTCTCCCCTTCTACCCCCTCCCCTATTCGTGCTATCAATCAATCAATCAATCAATCAATCAGTCAATCTTAAAAAGACACACACAGTATGTATTTTTGCCAGTATTTAAGTGTTTAATTTCATTAAGGACATTGGTATGTTTTTGAGTTTTTGAAACACTCTTCGCCAGAAAAAAAAATAGGGGCCAGGACTAGATGGTGAATGGCATGCCCCTCCTAATTCTGGGATCCTTGAGAAGCAAGATAGGGGTAGGTCTGGTAATGTTACTGGGGACCTAAAATATCTCAGAGATGAGCCCGTAAAGAGGCATTTTAGTTTGACTCACTGGTGACTTTTTGACCCTGTGCCCATTTGTCATATTTGAATGACCCAGATGACCCGACAATACTCAGCTCCTGGGTTTGGGGCCTTTTCACCAGCCTGAACACCTCAAATAGCTATAGCGATACCTAAGAGCATGTGCTACACCGAAGTTGGCCGGGTTTTGTGGATCCCAATGCATACACAATTGTGGGAGTGGGGATGCTTTAAAGAAAAAAAATTATAAATATAAAGACAGATGTAAAAGTGAATATTTATTTACAATGAGAAATCACACCAAATTACACATTTTTTTAAAAGCTCTGGAATTTTAGTTCCTACATGAAAGAAACTTGTTTAAGGTTTCCCCCCAGTTTGATAACAAACATTTACATGACATTGCCAATAACAAATTGTGAATCGGAAAGAGATGTTTTTTTAATTTTTAAGTGTTTATTTATATTTGAGAGAGACAGACAGACAGAGACAGAGACAGACTGCAAGAGGGAGAGGGGCAGAGAGAGAGGGAGACAGAATCTGAAGCAGGCTCCAGACTCTGAGCTGTCAGCACAGAGCCCCATGTGGAGCTCGAACGGTGAGATTATGACCTGAGCCAAAGTCAGAAATTTACCTGATTGAGCCACCCAGGCGCCCCTGAAACAGACTTTTCTAAACGATCAAATAATAAGGCAAATTTGATCTGCGATGCTAAAAAAAAAAGACTGAATTATGTTTCTTGTCCTCTCTAAAAAATGGTATTATTAAATCCTTGCCATATGAAGAAGCAACCAAAACGTATGCACCCAAAAATGTAAGAAAAAAGTAATATTCAAGCGTGGCTGGCATTTAATTCATCAAATTATTATGGGAGGTTTTTTTTATGATATTTGTGGTGTTTGTCAGCTTTAAAAATTTTTCCTGTACAGGGATTAATGTTAGATATACTCTTCAAATTTACTACATTTACTAGCTGATTTGCCTTTGAAAACCTCATTATAATTGGTGTATTATGAGTTTTTCCTTTTCTG